GGTAAGGAAGCTTTGTGGAGCGGCTGGCAAGACATTAAACCTGCTTCCTTCCTCAGCGCAAATGAGAACAGTGCAGGATTCAAGCAGAGGGTGAGCGAGGATGGATCTGCAGTCGATGAAGCTGAAGCTAGTGAAGCTAGCATGGACTTAGCATACCTCGACAAGATCTCCGAATTAGACTCCATGATGGCCGAAGGTGAACCCTCTCATCTTTCACCGATGCTGTCCCGCACGCTGGACTGTAATGTCCCGCTGACACCAAAGCTGCAGGCTGATTCGGACATTCTAGCTGATCCTGGATCGGCCAGAGGACAACAGAGAACATTGGACGCCCAGGACGGCAGCAGAAGTGGGCCGGAATGTTCTGGAGAGTCCACCAAACGGAAGTGTTCTGTTAGCTTAGCAACTGCTAGTCCTTCCAAAATGTCTAAGATAAAATAAAAAGTTGCTCTTAGAGTCTCAGCTTCCATTTTAGACTGATTAGGTTCGGCTTAAGAGGCAGTGATAAAATGATGTTACTGTTTTTAGATCAGTGTCACTTTTTAAAAATTTCAAAACTTCTTAAGATTAAAGAAACGACTAAAACAAATAAAAGCAAACGTTTCTCTTCACATATCCTTTATTTAGGACCAGTTCATTTGTGCCAAAATAGGATATTGGAGAATATGAATGAACTATTTTCCAATATTTTGGTTACTGTAACTTTTTTTTCTGTAATCTACAAACTCTCCAAGATTAAATCCAACAAACTTTCTAAAAAATCTTTTAGGATCCAGCCACCAGTTTGGACTACGTCAGTCAAGGTCGTTCATTCTTACATTTATTTTTGGTCATTTCCAAACTCCAAACTGAGATAAAACAAACTTCTTTTCTCTCTTCTTGTCTCGGCCTCAAATTTGAATGAATTCAGTTGGCTTTAAAACGTGGCTCAGTGATATTTTTATCAAGTTATTTGTAAATTTCTAAAACATCCAAGATAAAATAAAACAGGCTTTTTTTTTCATCTTGCTGTATCTGCACTTCCAGTTTGGGCTAATTCAGTTGGACTGGTTCTCAGTTACTATAGGATAGAGGGTTTCAGAGGATGACTGCAGCATAATATCTCAATTCTTAGGTCACTTTTTTTTTTTTGTTAGTTTTTTTTTTACCTCTGTTCAAAATAATGGCAGCTATGCATGTTGGATGATTTCATGACTGTTTTACTGGTAACAGTTTGCATTGCAATCCGTGAGGACGACTTTGAACCAGACAATCTTGGATTTTTTTTTTTCTTAAATTGAAATCTCCTTTGGATATTATGTGTGTTTTTACCACTCACCTGCTGTTCGTGTCCATCATGTTGCATAAACCTGGTCGAAGTTTAAAATTGCACTAAATAAAAATACATTTGGAAACACACCTGCTGATATTAATTTCAGTAAATAAATACACAGATCAGGCATAACATTATGACCTGTGTCACTGCTGGACTGAGAATAGTCCACCAACCAAAAATATCCATCCAGCAGCGCCCTGTGGGCAGCGTCCTCTGACCACTGATGAAGGACTAGAGGATGACCAACACAAACTGTGCAGCAGCAGATGAGCTATCGTCTCTGACTTTACATCTACAAGGTGGACTGACAAGGTAGGAGTGTCTAATAGAGTGGACAGTGAGTGGACACAGTGTTTAAAAACTCCAGCAGCACTGCTGTGTCTGATCCACTTGTACCAGCACAACACACACTAACACGCCATCACCACGTCAGCGTTACTGCAGTGCTGAGAATGATCCACCACTCGAATAGTACCTGCTCTGTGAGGGTCCATGGGGGTCCTGACCTCTGAAGAACAGGGTAAAAGGGGGCTAACAAAGTATCAGAGAAACAGATGGACTACAGTCTGTAACTGTAGAACTACAAAGTGCATGGTATGTGTTAGGTGTATGGGTTATCAAAAGGGCACGTTCTGGTTTTTAAGAACCAGTTTTTTCAGTGATGTGATTGTAGAAGAAACCCTAAAGAACCTAATGTAAAGATTCTACACCAATTATATGATGTTTCTAGAACTGTCGGTCCAAGGAACCTTTGTTTTAAGAATGTAGGTTCTTCTTGTTGGTTGGACAGATTTGGTCTGTACTTCCTTCTGTGCTCTCTTGCATGTTTGAGCTGTTGACTCCTTTTTCTTTATGTTGTAATAACTTCAATGGCAAATGCTGGTTTTCGCTGAGGTATAATGGAGTTGACCTAGACACTCAGCCAAAGGGGTTCTGTGACTTGTAATTATGGCAGAACCCTTTCTGGAGCTACACTGGAACCCTTTTCTATTGCATTTTCCACCATGAAGAATAATGATACATTTAGGCCTAATAATAATCGATGCAGTGGAAAATACAACTTTATAGAAACAACTGCAGCTAATTATTAGAACGTTTCACAAAAAAGGAACTATGCTCTGAAATGCAAAGAACCATTTAAGCATTCTTGGTTCTCTGAGTTGTCACAGCTCTGTTTATATCTACTGCCTTTACTAAAGAACTCTAGAAGAACCCCTGTTTTTGAATAAAGAACAGAAGTTAAACTGTTCTAGAAAAAACCTTCAGTTGGTACAGAACCTTTACGTTATGTCTAGTTCTTCATGCTCGCACAACTTTTTTACAAAAATGGTTCTTTAAAGAACAATCCAGGGAAAGGGTCTTCAGGGAACCAAAAGTGGTTCTGTGGCTTTGCTCTGAAGAGCCCTTTTTAGAACCTTTATTTTCAGTAGTGTTGGATTTTTTCTCAAATTCTTTTAGCTCTTTATGCAGTTTTACATTCATTCTGCACTCTTAAAGATGGTTCTTCGAGTGTTCTTTAGTAAAGAAAATGGTTCTATATAGAACCATTAACACTCACGGAACCTTTTGCATGGTTAAACGGTTTTCTGCATCATGAAATGGTCCTTCAGATTGATGAGGAACGTGTTGTAGATGGTTCTATGTAGTCTTTTTGAAAGGGGTTCTTCTATTGTTACAGACTTGACATCATACCACTAGAAGAACCCTTTTCAGAAAGGTTCTGTATAGAACCATCTTTAGCACATTCTTATCCATTTAGCACATTTATATGTTCATGGTTCTTTATGGAACCATTATCTTTACTAAAGAACCTTTGAAGAACCGTCCTAATGAACTCTAAAAGAACCTCCGTTTTTAATTGTGCAGTCTGAAGCACAAGCTGTATGGTTCTAGGAAATACCTTCAATTACTATGGAACCTTTACAATATGTGGGTGTTCTTCAAACTTCAAAAAAGTTCTTCACGTTCACACAACCATCCGGTGAAAGGGTCTTTAAAGAACCATCCGGTGAAAGGTTCTTGAGGGAACCACATTGCTCCAAAGAACCATTTTTAGAACGTTTATTTTTAAGAGTGCCGTTTGCCCTTTGCTATCAGATGCCAGATAAACTGCTAAACAAACTGGTTTAATATGGGCCGTAACCTCGTACACAGTCTCCGCTAGGAAATTAATGAATTCCAATGAATTGACACTTCATTTGTTCAAACACGCTCTGGTTAGCCAATTAAAATTTCATGCAACGATTAGAGCTCAGTGAAATATACATGATATCGTTACATTTGCATAATAAATCAGGGCATTAAATGCAGCATCCGGGGCTTTGGTGGTGGTAGGACTGGTGCAGCACGACGGGGTTTAACACAGGAATGTAAATATTATAATACGCTGATATGAGCAGGTGTGCTCACCTCTGCACCTTCAGCTAAACCTGTATCCAACTTTATCCTGTGAGTTAGTTAGTTAATTAGGCTGTGGAGCTCCGGGAAGCAAAAAAACAAACAAAAACATGTACATGACCCCACCTTAGTGGTGACAAAGTCTCAGTGCTTCACAGATGAAGGTGAGGAAATAAAAGGCTATGATGGGGATTTGAAATAACAGGAAAAGAGCTAAAATAATAAGTAGTGCATGTTTTGAATCTGTCATATGAGAAATGTTTTTCTTCTAATTACACCAGCACTGCTTGTTCATTATTAATAGGTGTGGATATTAATAATAATAAAGTTTAATAAAGAGCTCTCAGAGATAATCAGATATTAGCAGTCAGGGAACTTCAATAAAAATTAGATTTCAGATCATTTAAAGAAATTAAAGGGTTATTAAAACATAAAAACCTATTGAGAACAAAATGAAAAGTATGCATATACAATAGTGCACAGGTGTGCATGTTCATTTGCATATATTCTATTTATATAGTGTAATAAATTCCTGCCATTGTGTGTGTAAATATAAGTGTGTGTGTGTGTGTGTGTGTGTGTGTGTGTGTATGTGTGTGTGTGTGTGTGTATTATATTGTATATAGCTGTACTTCTGCTTTTGTTCCTGTCATTTTTCTCCACCTGTTCTTCTTTTTCTTTCTGTAACATCTTCAGTCTTTATCATCATTAAAGCAGAACGAACTGCGCTCCATGTCTCGCGAGATTAGGGTGTGGGATTCTCTCTCTCTCTGTCTCTTTTCCTCTCTCTTTATCGCTCTCTCTCTCTCTCTCTCTCTCTCTCTCTCTCTCTCTGTCTCTCTCCCTCTCTCTTTATCTCTCTCTCTCTTTATTTCTCTCTCTCTCTCTCTCTCTCTCTCTCTCTCTCTCTCTCTCTCTTTCTTTATCTCTCTCTCTCTTTCTCTCTCTTTATCTCTCTCTCTCTCTCTGTCTCTCTCTCTCTCTCTCGCTCGCTCACTCACTGTCTCTCTCTCTCTCTCTCTCTCTCTCTTGTTCTCTGTGTATCTCTCGCTCAGCCTCTTATCTATTTTCTCTAACCCCCCTCTCGTCTTTTTCACTCTTTTATTTTCTGTTTTTCTCGTCTTGGCCTCTCTCCCTCTCTCTCTCCCTCTCTCTCTCCCCCCTTCTCCTCCTTCTCCTCCTCCTCTCGCGATACGATGAGGCGCTGGCTCCTCCCCCTCTCTCTCTGTTCAGGTGTTTCTGTGCCTCTCTCGCGCGCTCAGCGCAGCAGCAGCAGCAGCACTGGGACCGCTCCGCGCGCGCCGCTGCAGCTTTCTCTTTACACTCGGCTCCTCTTTTTCTTCGCGCTCTTTTATTCGTCGCGCTTCTCAACTGCTGCACTTTATTCCTCTTCCTCGAGCGGGACACACACTCACACACACTCACACTCACTCACACACACACACACTCACACACACACACTCACACACACACACACACTCACACACACACACTGCAAACATGATGTCCATGAACAGCAAGCAGCCTCACTTCGCCATGCACGCGAGCCTACCTGAGCACAAATACACCACCTTGCACTCGAGCTCGGAGGCCATCAGGAGAGCGTGTCTGCAGACTCCACAGGTAAATGCGCGCTGTACGAGTGTGTATGTGCGCGTGTGCATGCGTATGTATGTGCGTGTGTGTGTGTGTGTGCATGCATGCGCGTGCGTGCGTCCTCGCTCCGCTCCTTAATGTTTTTTTCATGTTTTTCCGTCTCCATCATCTGCATGCCTGTGATCTTTTCTGAAAGCGCGGCCGCACGTGCAGCGCTCCAACTTTATTTTGCGTATTCATTTTTATGCACGCGCGCTTCTAAGTGCAAAATCCCCTGTCTTTCTCTCTCTATCAGTTTCTGTGCATGCACGCGCACAAACAGCAATGTTCTCTCTTTTCCTGCCCCCTCTCTCTCCTTCTCTCTCTCCCTTAGTTTCTTTCTTTCTGTCTTTCTTTCTGTTTGCTTTCATTTCTCTCTCTCTCTCTCTCTCTCTCTCTCTCTCTCTCTCGCTCGCTCTCTCTCTCTCTCCATCTCCTCTCTCTCTTTCTCTCTCCTAATTTTTATGTATGCATCCTTATAAACAGCAACATTCTGTCTTTCTCTGCTCATTTCTTCCTATTTTCTTTCTTTTGTGATCTTTTTTTTATGCCTCTACACAGCAAAATTCTACCACTTTACATTCTCAGTTTTTTACTTGCATGCATTACTTGCTATCCCCCACTTTCTCTATCTATCTCTCTCTCGCTCTCTCCATATAGTCTGTTCATCTGTTTTAATTTTTTGCATTCTTCTAAACAGAACATTCTTTTTTTTCTCTCCTTTTCTTTCAGTTTGTTTTCATTTTATGCTTCTGAACAGCACATTTACTTCTTTCTCTCTTGTTTTTCTTTTTCTTTTTTACACACGTTTGAAAACAGCAGTATTTTCTCTTTCAGTGCTTCTCCCTCTTTCTCAGTCTTTTTTCCTCTTTCTGTGTTTTTGCCTGTTTCTAAACAACAACATTCAGTTTTTCTCACTGCATGTTTTTTGTGTTTACAGGAGTTTTACTGTACTGGCATCTGAACTGGTGTTTATTCCTTTGTTTTCTCTACATTTCTCTCCCTCTGTTCTCTCTTTTCTCATGTCTGTGTTGTTCTGTCCTTCCAGCTGCAGAGTAACATCTTCGCCAGTCTGGATGAGACGCTGCTGGCCCGTGCCGAGGCTCTGGCCGCGGTGGACATCGCCGTTTCGCAGGGCAAGACGCATGGCCCATTTAAGCCGGACGCCACCTACCACACCATGAACAGTGTGCCATGCTCGTCTGCGTCCACGGTGCCGCTCGGGCATCATCATCACCACCATCACCATCATCACCCTCACCCGCAGAGCTTAGACCCGCCGGACCTGATGGAGCACATCGGGTCACCGAGTCTTGCCCTGATGCCCAGCGGGCACGAAGGAGCGGGCAGCGGGGGAGGTGGTGGCGGTGGAGGCGGAGGTGGTGCCAGCTTGATTTCGACTCCAGCTCATCCACACTCACACATGCACGGTTTGAGCCACCTTTCGCACCAGGCTGCCATGGGCATGACCTCACCACTCGGGCATCACGGGCTTCTGCCCGGCCATCACCCTGTGGGTGCAGCGGGCACAGGAGTGGCACACGGTGCCCCCGGACTGCACAGCGGCGGTCTGCCCACCATCAGCGACTCAGACACAGACCCCAGAGAGCTGGAGGCCTTCGCCGAGAGATTCAAACAGCGACGGATCAAGCTGGGGGTCACCCAGGCTGACGTAGGCGGTGCCCTCGCCAACCTAAAGATACCAGGCGTGGGGTCGTTAAGCCAGAGCACCATCTGCAGGTTCGAATCCCTCACCCTCTCCCACAACAACATGATCGCCCTCAAGCCTATCCTGCAGGCCTGGCTGGAGGAGGCCGAAGGAGCGCAGCGAGAAAAAATGAGCAAACCTGAAATTTTCAACGGCGGAGAGAAAAAACGCAAGAGGACCTCCATAGCAGCTCCTGAGAAACGGTCACTGGAGGCGTATTTTGCTGTCCAGCCTAGGCCGTCCTCAGAGAAAATAGCAGCCATTGCTGAAAAATTGGACTTGAAAAAGAACGTGGTGAGGGTTTGGTTCTGCAACCAAAGACAGAAACAAAAGAGGCTGAAATTTTCAGCCACCCACTGATGGACTGGACGATATACACTTACATGAACACCTATAAATGCACACTGAGTGAAGTGGAGCTTTGAACTGACTTGATTCAAATGTGCACATCATTTCCATAGGAGTGGAATACAGTGGTTGGTGTTTTAACTTAAACAGTAAGTAACCTGTCTGCCTTCACCGAACCTCTAATAGTGAGTTAGAACAATAATCTGGCTGATATTCCTTTAACACATTATTTCAAGTCTGCATTTTAAAGCATGTAGGTTTAGTAAAAACACTCAGTCTGACATGAAGAGGTTTGTTACATTAACATAAACCCAGCACTTCAGCAGAACTGCTGCCTTTGCTGGCTGTTCAGGTCTGGCAGTGTTTGTGCTGTTGCTCTCTTATTCATATGGATTTAATGCACACTTTTCAATCAAGTCAGTTCAGTCCCTCTTATTTCAGTGTAAACACAAACAAAAACAAACACACACACACTGTTCCTTCCTGCCTGCCTGCTTGAGTTTGTTTGGGGACCAAAAGGACCACAGCAGGACATTTCGAACAGGACGGTTTTTGTTCACGAGGACTTTCCTCCACGTCCCCTCGCGTTGGTGAATGTGATGTATGCAAATCCACCACAGGTAAAACTCACTACAGGTGACGTGAGGAGGAGAAAAAGAAAACAACAAACAAACAAACAAACAAAAACTAAGCTGTCCTTCACATCTCAGCAATGCCTTTTACTCCAAACCCAACAGAACAGATCCAGGATTGGGTTTAGATGATTTATTCAATTATTTATTTATTTATTTATTTATGTACGTATTTATTTCTTTTCCTCCCCAACAACGACTTCTTTCTCCCTTTGAAGTGATGAAATAGCCATTGAAGGATTACCTCATGCTTTAAAACTCTCCTGTCCTGTTCTCCCTCGTCATTAATCGATTTATGGCATCCGATTGATTCATTTGTGTATTTGTTTCGTCTGTAATGGGGATTTTATTGATCTGTCACGCGCAGATCCCATCCATCAGCGTCTGAACTTACCAAATGTTCTCATGCAGTGTTGTAGACGTTTTTATCAGAGAGAGAGAGAGAGAGAGAGAGAGGATGAGTCTCTTTTTATTTAAAAAAAAAATTAAAATGAAAGGTGGCAGCCACTCATATTTGATTTGAAATTGCACTGAGATCTATTATTTATTATATTTATTGTTATTTATTTGTTTGTTTGTTTGATTATTTATTGTAATTATACCATACAAAAACACGCATTTCTCAAAATCTGTTATTATTATTATTATTATTATTATTATTATTATTATTATTATGCCACGGTCTTTCAAAAAAGCAGTTATCCAATTCGCTCTAAACATATTATTATTATTATTATTATTATTATTATTATTATTATTATTATTCAGGTTGTTCAGATCTATTGAAATGCTTTGGTATGTATATATCAGTATGAATGACACTTCTATGCTCACCGTGCATAAATCGATTTATTCCCAATTATTTTGCAAATCAGGACTGAATGTGTTTGTTTTTTTTTAGCAGACTTTTAGCGCGCATGCGTCGATCAAAAACGTGTCCTGATGGAGCAGAATGGAGAAAAAATAGAGATTTATTTCTTTTCTCGTACTTTGGTTTGCAGTGCAAACACTCTATGCATTAAAGTGAGGAGCACTAAAACCCCACAGTGTCACACACACACACACACACACACACACACACACGCACGCACGCACACCCTCACACACACACACACACTGCGCTGTTTGTCGTGTTACTGTTCAGAAAAAAAAACAAAACAACGAAAAAAAAAGTCCAACAAAAACAATGTTGTGTAAGTAGTACTTTATTTTGTGCACACGTATGTTTACATGCAGCCGCCGCGTGCATCGTGTGACGTCACTCGTACCTGTGCACCTGTCCGGCTCGCGGAGTCTCTCTCACCTGCGCGCATGCGCACTTCCTCCATGTGTGTGTCCCTCCATCCTCCTCCTCTGTTCTGTAAGCCAAACCCAGCGGACACAGCCTGGGGTCTTCTAATAAAGCAGAGAAAACACACCACGCGACTGACTTAGCTTCATTACTCTCACAATCACTGCTGCTGTTATTATTATTATTATTATTATTATTATTATTATTATTTTTATTATTATCTTTTTTATCAATTTCAAATCTCTTTTCTTCTACTACCACCACTGCTCTGACAATCACTATTGTTCTTATTAATGCTATCACTACATACATTAAACACACATTTAACAGGCAGCGCTGAGTGCTGTATGCAGGAGAACGCGCCTCTGCTGCCATATTTACATTAAAACCCATTTATACTGATGCGCATTACAGGTAAACACAGTTTACTTTCTGTCTGAGCAGCTGAACATTGATTCACATCTTAATTCATTTTCTTCTCTTTTCAACAGTTAAAATCGCACTTTTTCTCTTTTGGCTGGTTTATTTTATCACAGTGAAAAGCAGGTGAAGGCTGGAGGAACAAGGCAGCGCGTGGAGACCTGCTGTTAGACCACAGGCTGGAATTCTACAGTAAACATCAGCTCAATTCAGAGAAAATGTGTTATATTAATATAAATATCAGAAAAAAACATCAGAGCACTCAGAGACTCTTCTGAGGGAAAGAAATGATATTATTACATTATTATTACAATTAAATTACATTATTATAGTCCTCGCCACTCCACTAAAATGCACCAATTGTTGTTATTATTATTATTATTATTATTAACACACTATGTTCAGTTGAATTCTGTGTGCACTCGATGTCACTAATACATAACAGTCTAATAAATTATATTAAATTAATCTACAGATTAGTAGTAAAAATATTGATAATTATAATAATAATAGCAGTATTATCATCGTCATGATCACCATCAAGATCAGCAACAACAGTAAAAACAGAAATAATAATAGCAATAACAACAACAACAACAACAACAACAATAATAATAATAATAATAATAATAATAATAATAATAATAATAATAAATCCTTCATAATCAGCCTTTAAATTTTACGTAAGACACCGTGATCCCACGTAAACACTACATTTGAATACCCCTGATTCTGTTTATTAAATAATTCATGCTCTGAGATTTGGAAAATTAATAAAGCGAATACAACACGCGCCTAATTAAAACCTGAGTAATTATGATCAGCCTCCTAATGGGGCGTTAACGTGTCCTGCAAATGGTGCGCGTGCTGGTTGCGCATGTTCTGATAAAGAGGGAACACGCGCCTGAGATTTAATGACATATTTCCCCAAATCACCGCCGAACAGCTCTGACCTGCGCGCGAGCGCTTGTTCACTCGGCGGACATTGAGCTTTATCTCCAAATCAGAAGAAACGCGCTCGCGCTTCCAGCTCCTGATCCTACTCTCGCTATTCTCCCTGAAGGAGATTCTGGGATTCTGGGAGCTCGAGGGTTGTTTTTCCTCTGCAGCTCATAATAAAGAATTAATGACGGAGCTGCGGCGCGACGGGCTTTAAAAACAGAGCGTTCAGATCACAAAGCACAACATTCTAATCCTAAAACTCTTTACTTCATCCGCAGCGGTCAGCGAGACCGCAGGGGTTTGTTTCTGTCTTTCTGCAGAGCTGCAGACACAGCAGAGGCTTCTCCTCAACACACACACACACACACACACACACACACACACACACACACACAGAAATGTTAAATGTAGTTGATGCAATATTAATCGAGCACTGCTGATATAAAATGCAATATTTTCAGCAGCTCTCGGGCTTCAGACAGACGCAGCTGCAGAAGCTGGAAAAGAAAAGAAAAGAAAAGGAGGAAAAGAAAGAAAAGGAAAGGAAAAGCTGCGCGTTTATTACTTCTGTGTGGCTTTTGGCGACGAGGAGCGGCACAATGTGAGTAAGGACGATTTATTTATTTATTTATTTATTTATTTATTTGGACTGGAAATATTTTGGCCTCTTTTTTTTCTTACATGAAGTGATGGAAATATTTTAAATCGATAAAAGCACTAAAGATTTTTGGGGAGTGAACGTGCAGTTTGCTTTAATTAAGATATTTATTTGTAAATAATAATAATAATAATAATAATAATAATAATAATAATAATAAATAGATAGATAGATGGATGGATAGGTCAAAAGAAATCGTCGAGCATTTGCTGGACAGCTGTGGAGTCACTTTTGCAAAGCCTTATTGATTTCGCTGTAACTGTTACAGCCGTTATCTTTCGAACGTTTGTTTATGATTATATCTGATGCTTCTTTTTGATGTTATGCTCCGTCTGTATTTTCCAGTAGTTAAATTATTAAAGTAATGATTCATGTAACGTTTCTATCCTCGCAGTTTTTCTCTGCAGTTCTCTTCGTTTCTCTCTCTCTTTCTGTCCTTTTCTGCTAAAACGTGGACCAATCAGCGGTCCGGCTGAGGCTCTCCGCCGACGGAGCACAGAGATTCAGCACCGCGGACAGAGACGCTCGGCGAGCTCAGCGTTTCAGCACCGCGGACAGAGACATCCGGGTACTTTCCTCGCACCGTCTGACGAACACTGTGATTTTCAAAGCCAGCTGAGAGTTTCGGTTTCAGCGCTGCAGACAGACACAGAACTACACACTAGACACCCATTCACAGCCGAGCTGTCCTGCCTCCTCAGACTGATTCAACACCACAGACAGTTCAGTGTTCAGCACCGCGGACAGAGACTCTGAGGCAGGTCTGACAGAAGGAGCCTCTTTCAGTCATTAAACACTTTAACAGTTAGTTCCCTGTTCGGCTCTGTGTTCTACCGGCTCCGTCAGCTGTTCGCCTGATTTGTTTACTGTTTTATGTTTTATGTATGACGTTTTAAAACTACTGTGATGAAAATAAACCTGAACTTACACTTCTACTGTTTCAGCGTGTCAGTATTTCAGCACTTCACTGGTTCAGTAGTTCAGTACAGTATTCTTCAATGTAGTGTTTCACTCTTCAGTAATTTTATATTTCACTATCTTATTATTTCAGTATGTCAGTATTTCAGCA